AACTGAAATTAATATTTATTTTCAAATGCAATTGCAAAAAAAATAATTATTTTTTTCCGATTCAATTAAAAATAAGTTTAATTATTGTAATTACTGAAATGATAGAAATAATGGAACTAAAGTTAAGATTATATAAAAGTTGAGGACCAAAGAAAGAGTTTAAGTATAGAGAAAGAGAAAGTATCAAGCTAGCACAATAATAAGAGGAGAGAAATTAAATAGAAAAGAAAAGAAAAGACACAAATTATGAGATGCTGGAGATACAAAGAATCTTTCATAACAATATTGTCAATATCATGAAAAAAAGCTCACACCAATGAAGCATTTTCTAAAGACGGTGATATGTTCACTTACTAGTATGTGTAAATTAATTAATGATTTAATTTTTTTTTTTATATCACAGTTTAAATAGTTATGCAAGCTCACATGTCCATCTCACAACTCTTTATTTTTTTTTACGCTAATTATTTGATGTATCTATTAGACGTGAGCTTTGTGTTTGTAATTGTTTTTGTATTTGCAATGTAATAAATATAGTAAAATATTTGATAATAAATTAAATTATGTTTTATATTGTGATATTTATTAAAAAATTAAATTTAAAATACATTTTTTATATATTTTTTAATTGAGATTCGTAAAACTTTATTTGTTTTTATATTTTAAAAGTATTTTAAAAAAAACTAATTTTTATTTTTATTTTTTTCTTTACTTCAAATTAATTTTTTTTTTTTGTGTTTTTAGGATCACTTTGATGTGATAATATAAAAAAATAATTTTTTAATATAAAAAATATTTTGATGCATTATTAATTAAAAAACATTTTAAAAAACAATCACAACCACACTTACAAATACAACTATCAAATTTTTTTTTTTTTTACTACACATAAACCCCAAATATAATTTTTACTAAATACATATATAAATTCAATTAACCATGTTTTTTTAAAACTTATTTTTTAAAATCATAATTACAAAAATTACCTCAAAAATAAACACACACTCATCTCTAGAGAAATATGAAGGATTTCAAAATATCTAAACTATTTAAAATAGAAAAACTCTTTTACGTCATCGAAATAATTTTTATTTGTTAAATATTTAAAATTAACTTAAATATTAAAATATTTCTCATTCCATGAGAAATTTGTCTTGCAAGATCAACAAAGATGCATAGCAAGTCAATACAAAAGTCTATTTATATATAAATTATATAAAAAAATATTATGCCTTGATCACTTACTATCTATTTTTTTTAGGATAAGGTAAGGGATACTTACTCAATTCGTTTGCATTTACATATCGGGTTTGTAAGCATTTAAAATAATGATTTTTACTAATCTTAAAATTCAAAATAAAAATTTCAAGATATCAAACAACTTTTTTTTTTATTACAAACTATTTTTTTTTCTAACATGAATGTCCTAACAAGATTACCCACATTTTAATTAATTTTTTAACATTTTAAAACTAACAAATAAATAATTTTTTAATAATTTTAAAATTTATAAAACTTAAATTATTAATTTTTAAAAAAATCTAAAATTTAACTAATTAAATTAATTATCAGAGTTTCACAAACCAATCTTTTTTTTTTATTATTTACGTGGGGTGTCCGGGTCAGCTTACGCACAACACGACTAACCTCACGATTTATTGAATACCCTACAAATCTAATAGGCATATAAAACACTACAAAAATGACAAATATATACCCTAGAATTCAAATCCAAATACAATAAAAAAAGACAAACTTCTTTCACTAGGCCAAATACTGGAATCCTTCTTCGCAGGCCTGTTGGTTGACATTAAAAATGATGAACAGTTTTGTTTTGAAGCCCGCTAATTGTGGAAAACAATTTAGATGGAACCCCGCTATCGGCGTCAGATTTTCTTGGCTCGTGGAAAAAAGGGATTTGTGAAGGAGAGAATTTCTCCATCATTCTCTTGGACAACTCCAGTTCCACTTCAATATATATATATATATATATATATATATATATATGATGAACCAGAAATCAAAATAAAAAATATAATTTAAAATTGTGATTTATTGATCATTTTTATTGCTACTGCTTTAAAAAGTAAAGAGATGAAATCACTATATACATCGGTTTAATGATAATAATTTTATTCGAATTCATTAAATATTAATTTAAACAGCCCAAATAAATAAGATATTTTACATTGGATTCAGGCAAAGATAATAAAAATAAAATCAGATTTTAAATCCGATCCAAAACCCAACTAGCTCCCTCTCTTGGGAAAGAAAAACGTCAGGTTCCTTCGTCTTCTTTGTGTGTACATTAATTTCTACGGCTGTCTGTTCGCTTCTTTGTATTTTCGAACTTGTTTGACATTCCGTTTTAATTTGTATTACAAAATTTTAAAAGAATATTTTTTGTGTATGCAGGCATTTCATGTATACCACACTTCATGCCTTATACTCTGGATGCTCAGCATTGAGTTTGAGATTGTTTGCAATCAGTCAGTCAGTCCCAAAGTGGGGAAAAGATCTAGGAACAAGAACGGAGACAAATCTAATACATCAGGAAAAGGATGGAACAGTGAACACTTTCTCAAACCCAATTGTATCTGTGCTCTGTCCAGAGTGCCAAGGTACTGGTGTGAACATTGAGGGAGATGAGCTTAAGAAGACACCTGCCTCTCATTCAGAGGTATGGTTTCTGTCACTCGTTCATGCCATTATGATGTTTTTTATGTTCTTTCTGAACGATGTCAGCAAATTACAGGACTTTCTCTCCAGTCAAATGATAAATTTCTATTGTCAAATATTTGTTGTTTTTATGGAATGGATTTGAAGGGAAGACTAATTAGCTTTCAGCTTTGGGGTTGCGATTAGTTTTCCTTCAATAAAAATGGTTCTCCTTACCAGAAAATCCTCTGGAATAATAAAACAGAGACATTCTTGGAGGAACCTTGTTCATTGTATCATGATCTTCTTGTTTCAGGTGTTCCAGTTCCAGATGAACGTGTGTAATGGATATAAAGGATGGATGACAAGTCCTGAGATCTTGGAGAAGTGCTCAACAGGTTTTCACTTCCCTCCAGAATCTGGAGAGCCAGTTCAGGTATTCTGATCTCTGTTTCCAACTTTTATTGGTGATGAATTGGTATTGTTAATATAAATTTTTGTTTCTTCAACTTTTTTACCAGTCTGTTCTTGAATGAGGAATTATCATCATCCTATCTCAAATTTTGATGGATTAGCCTCCATTTGTCTGGGTTGGCTTGAGGCTAGTAACTGACAGTTCTTTCATTACCTGTTATCACGTACTTGCTCTTGTACTGAGGCTCGAGATGTCTGTTTATTTGCCATTGCATGAAGTTTTGAAGCTTGGTGTCTCTTTATGATCTTCTTGATAAGGCTGAATCATATCTTTGTTGGAAATCATATCACTCGGGATCGATGTATATAATTAGTTTATTATTTTGTTCCTGCTGGCTACGAATTAACAATATTAATTTGCGTTAAACTTGTTGGGAGATACGCAAATTATCCAGGCCATTTGTCACCTGGAGCTCCATCCCGGACCAGGAATTTTATACATGATGTCACTTTGTTATCAAGTTATTTGACAATCCCATAAAAAATTGAAAGTCTTCGACCGTGTGCTTCAAGAAACTATGACCTCACCCTACCTCTAATGAGTGTTGATGTCATGCAACTAAAGCTCGTGCTCCTTTTCTTATAGAGCCTTTTAAAAGTTTAGTTACCTTGGATCTATTCTGGACAAGCTAGGAGGGATTGGGCGCAGCAGAGGTCAAACCTGGTTCAGAAACCATATTTCATAGTTAATAATCTCGGGTACCTTGGAACTTGTTGCACCTTGAAGTAGCACTTGTGCCAAGCTCATGAATTAGAAGGATGTAAACAGGCCAAGTCAGAACTAACACCATCGCTATATACAATTTAATGTCAATGGTTTTACGTTTATATAGTGTGACAGTGTACCTGTATAGGTAAAATCTTACCACTTATATTGATCTATGAGCTTAGAATACTTAATCATATTCAATTACAATTAGTCTCTTAAATAACGAGCCGGCGCATAAAAATCCTTCACATTTGAGAGAACAGAAGTCTTCTCAGATTACCATTCGGCCGAAAAGAATGTACAGCAGGACCATTTGCAGGCAAGGTTATTCCAGAGAAATTTACCTTTACCAAATCCCAGTTGACAAGCCGGCCCATCTTGCAAGGTCATTTTGCAGCACAATGGATTTCCTATATATATGACCTTTGTCTGTCAAACATTAGGTACACAATAAATGGCGTGCTCAAAGAGATGCAAGAATCTCATATGCTTTCTAGTTGTTCTGGCGCTGGTTTTAACACTTGCTGGACGTTCTCAGGCTAGGCCGCTCCCGCACTTGAATGTCTCAGGATTCCAAGCTCGGAATTCGTCACTCGAGGATGCTCTTAGGACCCTTTCGGCTACGTTACCAAAGGGTGCACCCCTGCCACCTTCCGGACCTAGCCCTGGCATCAACTGATTCAGTGTTAGACGTTCGACGATGGCATTTGCTAAAGTCTCTGCTGATTCTTATGCATGATAAATAGGATGTATTGTAAGAGAGGTTAGGTTACACTTGTTTGTTATGAACTAAGACAGGTTTGTTATGTTCTCTGTTAAGTGTATACCGTCATTGATTATTCATTTCTCTAGGTATCTACTTTCATAGTGGATGTATGCAAACGAATTATGCATGGATTAAGCTATGATACAATACAGCCCGCTTCTGGCTACCGATTTCTTAAACTATCTACGCTGGCTGCTATGATACTCCAATGCAACAACTGCAGTAATGTTCTTCTTCATATATAGAAGCTAGAGAAAATTTCAAGTAGATCCTTTACAAACCGATACATTTAGAGCTCAAATGGATAATCTTTATCCTACTTGGTTAGAGTGACAAAAAAGCACCATAGGTTTTAGGTGGGATGAGTTGTGTGACAGTATAGATCAAGGTTGTCTCATTACATGGATGAGTAACTCGTTCTCCGCCGCACATGCAAGTTTAGATTTTTTTAATGTATAAAAAAATTGCTATGACGATGATAGTGTTTTAAAAAATTAAGAAAAACCCAATTTTCAAATCATTAATTTGATTGAATTTAATAAAATAAAATAATTTAATAATTTTATTTAAATCATAGATAATAATAAAAAAATAAACCACCAAAATAATATTTGATAACAAATAACTAAAACAAATAAAATAAGTTATCAATATAATATCTATAAAAAAAATTATTAAATATTTATTATCACTCCACTATGAACATCACTCATAACTAAATAAATTTATCAGAAAAGATAGCCCAATAAAAAAACAAAGGATGTAGAAAGCCCAAAAAAAAAAAGTTCAATATCAAATTAATTAAATATTAATTAAAGATAAAATTAAAAAAATATTAACTTAAAAAATAATTAAAAAACCAAAACAACCCTAAGCAAATCTCTAAAAACTGGGTTAATCTTTAAAATTTACAATCCATAAAATTCTAGATACATGCTCACTTGAAAAGCTCAAATCCAAAACGATTAAATGAAGGTAAAGAAAAATTCTAATCTAAAAAGCTTTGCAAAGCAAAAAATTAAAAAAAAATGATACTAAAATCTAATAAGAAAAAAAATGTAGGTGATCATGCTAAAATAAAAAAAATATTTTTTTAAATAAAAATATATTTATAATCTTTGAGTCTTATTTTTTATAAAAAAAAAAATTGAAATACAATCTTATCTTCATTACATTTAATAAAAGATAAATATCTTTTACATTTATATTAATATTTCATAGAAAAATAATTGATTATTAAAGAACTTATATACACCTAAAATGTATAATCTTATCATTATAATATTTTAAAAAAATAAATATTTTTTATATTTATATTAATATTTAATAAAAATATATTAAGTACTTGAGTACTTTTATAAACTTAAAGGATATAAAAAAAAATTAAAATTCAACATGTGAAATATAATCATACTATACAATGAAAATATAAAAATATTATATAACCCGTCCTTTCTTGCAATGTCCAATGTATAATGTATCTAGTGAAAAAAGATTTTTCCATCTATGTAATTATGTTTAAAGGATAAATATATAGTTTTACTGTGCAAAATACACAGCGTTACGTACCGCTAGGCTCTAATTTACAAGTGATCTATCCACTTTTTGAGTAAAATATGCAAGTATAGCCTTTATATCCCATTTTTTTCAAATATCATATTGTATGATTGAGAAGAGGAAAGAGGTTATGGCGATGCACAAACATCATGCCAGCATGGCCCCACTTGGAGATGGAAAATGAGAGGATACCAGATCTTCCGGCTAATTTGCCTATCATGCCACTTCAGCTCTATCGGCACATCAATTCATACAGTGATTGTCGGCTGATCGTTCTGCGCAATGACTGAAATGACAAAGAAGTTATGTGATACTAGCTGTCTGATTTTATAAAAATATTTTTTAATATTAATAAATTAAAACAATATGTAAACATTTAAAAAATATCTTGCGACCTATCTTTACGAGAATATGTGTCTTCGTGGTTTTTGTTTTCAAAAAAGTAAAATAAAAGCTTTGCTAGCCTCGGTTAATCTATAGTTAGTGTACATGATCCTGTGTCTTATTTTGTTTATACATATATGTATATGTAAATTAATCATTGTGTATATATTGTTTAATTTAGTTTTGGAATCAATTATCATATATTTGAGATCATTCCTTACCTCTAAAAATGATTTTTTCCATCAATTTTATTCTAAATTTTCTAAAATCGACTCCTACTCTGTAAAATTAATCCTTACCCTCTTACATTGAGTTCCTATATCTTTTTTTATATCAATTCAAGTCTTATCACTTTGAATTCTAACTCCAAAAATGTATATCCTCACCGCCTTGATTTTTGTTCCAACTGTTTGAAAATTAAGGGAGTGAAATTTGGAAATCATTTGTTTTGTTCCCATGATTCCTGGTCCACATTAGTGGGGAGATTTCTTGCAGTTTTTGCAGGGTAGAAAACGTGTTCATGGGAGCTCGCCTTCATTTCGTGATTACAATCACAGCGGCGTTCTATTCTTATCAAGAAAGCAATCGTTTTATGGAATTAATAGTATATTTGTTTTTGTATTTTTTTAATTATTATTTTATATTTTTGATTGTTTTGATATATTAATATTTAAAATAAATTTAAATATATTTTAAAAAATAATCACTAAAAGAAGGTAACAATTCTACATATAAGAGATGGGAAATTTTTTATTATGTTGTTGAATTTACCCTGGCAACACTGCCGCCCCTATGTATAAAAACAGCACTTTAAGCATATTTTAACTACTTGAGCTCCAAGATCCATCACATAAAAATAAAGCAAACAAGCATGAGTTCATGCATATTGTGGTTGCTTTTCTTGCAAGTGACTGTGCTCTCTTTTTCCATCACGTTACATGGAGGAAATGAGACAGACAAACTCTCTTTGATTGCTTTCAGGGCTCAAGTTCCCTTTGGAAGGATGAACTCTTGGAACGAATCAGTACACTTCTGCGAGTGGCCAGGTGTTACATGTGGACGTCTGCATCAGAGAGTTGTAGAGCTTGACCTTCATTATCGACTGGTGGGCACCCTATCTCCCTCATTGGCAACTTGAGTTTTCTTAGGGTGCTAAACCTGGAAAACAACAGCTTCGGCCACAATATCCCTCAAGAACTGGTTCAACTGTTTCGGCTACAGATGTTGAACCTGGGATCAACTCTTTTAATTAGTGGTGAAATCCCAGTCAACATTTCAAGTTGCTCGAATCTCCTGAATCTTGATTTGGAGCGTAACAATCTTACTGGTAAGCTTCCTGCACTACTTAGGATTAGCGAGGCTTCACCAGAAGTTTCCGGTCAATTATCTTCTGATCAGACCAGCTCTGTTGGTTTAAAAGGCACCATTGGCTATGCAGAACCAGGTAAGATGACAAGAATTTCATTGCTTTTGACTTTTTCAAATTTTTAGTTTGTCATCCGGTTCTAAACCAGTTAAATTTTCTGAAAGCTTTCAAACAAACAAAGCTAAGTTTCCATTTGGTCAAACATCAACATGATCACAATTTAGCTTTATTTTCTTTGTTTTCAATGGAAACATCAACCTTTTAGAAAGTATTTGTGCTTTTTATTTTTTATAATAATTATTATAGAATATATCTATATAAAAAATATTATAAACATATTATTATTATGTTGTAATCTCTACCATTATTATTATATATTATTTTACACATACATATAAAATGTTTGATTAACCAATAAGTTAATTTTTCTAGTTATTTTTAATTTGGTATTATAACTCTTTCATCCTTTTTTTTTTACAATCGGCCTTTTTCTTTTCATCTCCTAAATAGATTTTATTGTTGTTGTCTCCAACTTTTCCTTTATGATTGATGGTGCAGAACAACTCACCAACCATCTACAAGCTGTTACCATTTCTAAATAGTAGCACTTGCAAAACACATTAATTGCTCCTTTTTACAAGTTTTTGTAGTTTCTTTGCACGTTATGGAAATACAAACTCCAATTATTGTTGCTATATCAAACACCCATCAAGTTATTTCTTTGAAACTTACATACATAAATTATCTCTATTAGCAAATACAGATGAAGCTTTATCTCTTTAGCTAAAGTGTTTTTCACTTTGTTGATGACTTAGTGTCGTGTCCTCCATCTCATATTTCTGAAAGATATATTGATTCTTCCTCTACAATCAATCATTTTTTTCTTTATTGGAAGCAACATAATCAACTTATTTTGAGTGCATTACTCTTCTTTTTCTCTGTACATGTGTTCCATCTCGTGATAGATTGTTATACCTCACAATGTGTTTGACGCACTTTTGAGAAAGCTCTTATGTCTCCATCTAATTCTCGCATCATACAATTCTATGGTTCCTTTTAAGATCTTCAGCAAGGTAACTCATCTGTTAGTATCTATATACAGCAAGTCAAATCATTATTTGATGAATTGGGCGCTGCTAACCAGCCCATGTCTCTTAAAGAATCTATATGTGTCTTGTAGCCTTTGTGGTGAGTTCAAAAACTTAATAACAAGTCTTATAATCAAGATAAAATTGTTTTTGTATGTTGATCTTCAAAACCACCTTCTCACCCATGAATTTTTGCGCAAGAACTCCCTTCATTCCATGAATGCAAATCCCTCTCTGCTATTCCAGCCACCACTGCTACCAACACCATAACCTTGTACTCATCTTGCTATGTCTCATCACAACTCTAATTTTAGCCATAATAGAGGGTGTTCCTGTGGCAACTGGCATCCCAACAACAACCACACAATCATCAAAATAAGGGCCAATTTGCTGTCAACTAAAAGCCGAACAATTGGTAAAAGAACAACACAACACAGGAGTTGGATAGTGGTCTGGACAGTAGCATGCCCACTACCAAAATAAATCCGATTCTGGTAGATCTGAGGACGAGGATTCTGATGGTGGTGGTCTCGTTGGCCGTTGATGGCTGAGGAGGGAGAATCGATGACTTGAAGGTCGATTGGCCGATGACGGTCGCGACCTTTTTCCGGCCAAACTAGCCGGTGAAAAAAT